CGTCCCCACGGATCCCGCTCCAGTGTCTCCAGCATCTCGCGGCGGGCCTCGCTCTTGGCCCGCTTTATCGCTGCCTGAAGGGTCCTCTTGGCAACCCTGTAACCCGCTAACAGCTCCGCCTCTCTCGCTGCCGCATCTTCGGGGCGGCGACGCCTCCTGCGGAACCTGGACCACTGGCGGCGCGCGTTCACGCAGGCTTGACGCAGCCGTGCGATCTCCGGCGACCACCAGTAGACCTGGCGCCTCGCAGTATTGGGCTGAGCCCTAGGCATCGCCGCATCGCAGACGCGGGTCATGGCCTCCTGGAACCACTGTGCCTCAGCATCGACGTCGACAGGCCTGTCCGGCGCAGGAGCCCAGGCCTGTACGATGACGGCTTCCAGGAGGAGGTCGCGATCTAAGCGCTTGAGCGCCCAACGTGGTTCAGGTGGTGCCGGTCTGACCGGCGCGCCATCTGTAGGGGCGGAGACGTCAAACCGAATATATCGGTGATCCGAACCTGTCTCCTCCTCGACAACGACGCGCCAGCCTTGGACACGACGCGCTAGCGAGGGGCATGCGAACGAGATGTCCACGATCGAACTACCCCTCGCCGTCACGAACGTGGCCACGGCCCCCCGGTTTAGGAGAACTAGGCCGAATCTTTCAGCCCAGTTCTCCAATGCCCAGCCCCTCGGGTTCGTGCGCAGGGAACCCCAAGCCTGCGACCAGGCGTTGAAGTCCCCCAGTACAAGAACCGGGTGGGGGCGACAGGCATCGACGACGACGGCCAGCTGAGCGAGCCAATGCTCGAACTCAGTTAGGTTTCGGTTCGGCGTGAAATAAGCGGCCACGACGTAGCTTATTTCTTCGCGACTATTCGTAATATACAGGGTTACAAGAAAAGTCGTGCTAGATCCGTTAAGGGCGTGGAGTACCCATCATTTCTGACATATTTCACTATGAAACACCCTACCCTAAACTTAACCCTTTTCGAGATAATCGTCTTTTAATTTTTTTATTGAAATTTGCTGATTTTTAGGCTACTACATTTATTTTTGTTTATTTTGTGTATCTTATTATTATTATTTTTGCATTTTTACATGTGTAATAAGATGCTTTAGGACGTCAGTCATTAAAATAGTTCATAAGTTAATTGAATAGATCGTAGTAGACAAGTGAAAGTAAAGAAATAAAAAAAAATTTAGAAAATTATTTTTCTCTAACGGATATCTAAAAACAATATTATGGTAATTGTTCGGCAGATGTTTTTTAAAATATCTACGTTTCATCAGCTATCTAACGAGGTATAACAATCTAGGGTTTGTATTACATTTCGTGGAAAAAAAGTAGTTGGGACGCTCCAGGTAACAGTTCTAACGGTCCCTAATAAGGCCAATAAGGCCTATTGTCCTTCAAGTTAAGACGCACCAAGCGAGCGAGACAAGTGACGATTTATGTAGGTGCGAATGAAAGAAAAAATGTGTAGAGACCGGTTAGGGCTGGGAATACAACAGGGGGCATTGTTTGGTTGTCACTAGTTGTCAGTCTGCTTTTGTGCTTCGTACATAGTAGATGTGATATCGTTTTGCTCTTTTTCTCGACTTGTCTGTGATTCTGGACTATTTCTTCTGATTTGTGACTACTGTGCTTGTTAACCGGACTCTGATTTGTACCTGTGATACGGAAGTGTTGAAGATGACGTCCTGAGGAATATGCTGATATGCTTATTTGTTACGGATACTGCGATTGTGTGTCTGCGCAAGCTCGCAACGACTACACAACGACAACTCGCTACCCTGGTCGTCGAGTGCCGGATGTGGCCGTTTTTGACAGAGTTTATCGAAGACTTCGAGAAACTGGCTCTGTTTTGAGATGAAATACAGACATGGGAAGACCACGAATTGACGACGAAGAACAGGACAATGAGGTAGTGCAACGCTTTCGAGCGGATCCGACTACTTCCACTAATATTGTTGCCCGTGATCTGGGACTTTCGCAATGGAGAGTGTGGTTTACAGTGCATACTGCTGGCCTATACCCGTACCATTACACGCCGGTACACGTTATTGAAGAAGGATACCCCGCGAGAAGATTGGACTTTTGCAGATTTATGCTAAATGCTGACGTAGAAGACCCAGATTTTCTAAGAAATATCTTGTGGACGGATGAGTCCAAATTTGATAAAGATGGCATAACTAACTATCACAACGCCCATTACTGGGCCCCAAAAGAATATGCGGCCGGTATGTCGGCTATGGATCGTCGAATATTGGTTTTTAGGTCACGAATTGTAGCTGGATTATTGCTGTACACTTAATATTAACGTAACTTAAAGAAAATAGTCTAAAGGTGTTAAATCACACGATCTTGGTGGCCAACTGATCGGTCCATTTCTGGAAATTAACGACTCACCAATCTTTCCACGCAGTAATTCCATGTTCACTCGAGTAATGTAAGGTGGTGTACCGTTTTGTTGAAAATAAAGGTCGTCTGCATCAATATCATCAAATTCCGGAAAGAAATATTCGGTTAACATCGAGTTATAGTGCTCGCCATTCACAGTAACAGGGTTTCCTTCGTCACTTTCAAAGAAGTACAGACCAATGATTCCACCGTACCATAAACCGCACCAAATTGTTATTTTTTGCGGATGCAATGAGGATTCATTAACCACACGTGGATTTGACTTACTCCAATAGCGACAATTTTGTTTACTAACAAATCCATTGAGCCAGAAATGGGCCTCATTTGAGAAGATGATTTTACGATGAAAATCGTCATCGGCTTCCATCATTTCCAGTGCATAATCGGCAAATTCACGACGGATACAATGGTCGGATGGCTTCTTGTGTCAAAATAATTTTGTATGGGTGTAGGCCCAAATCCGGTCAGTCCAGTCCAGGTCAAAATAGGTGGCCAGGTGGTCATTCGAGAAAGCCCCAACTCTTGTGAACGGCGTTGAACTGATCGATTTGAATTCGCATCAACACTGGCCTGAACGGGTGCGATATTCTCTTCACTACGGGCATTTCTTTATCTCACAGGCACAGCAGTATCGTGGAGAGTGAATTCACTTTCAAATTTTGTTATTATGCGATTTATAGCGCGCACAGAAGGAGCACTATGACGACCGTTTTTTGCGCGAAGCGCTCTTACTGTAGCGGTAGGAGAACGCGAATTTGCGTAATAATTTTGACAAGCGTTGGTTTAAAGTGAAACGTAACAAGACAAAATGGCAAACCTTACTGAACACCAATGTCAAGAGACGTCAAAGATCCATCATCAAACATGGCCGCTATGAGCTGTCAAAACCAGGTCATCCCTATTGGTAGACCCAGTATAATGAAAATAATTGTAAGCAGTTACTTAATTTTTATTATTAAACAATAAGTCATGTTGATTATGTCCTTTCACTTCTCTAAACAATGTGTGTATGAACGAATAAATCTAGAGTTAAAAAACATAAGCATGTGTTTAGTTCTTCTATTTATTTATTTTACACTTCTTGCCTTATATTTTGCACGAGGCGGACCTAATTTCATTATCTACTAGTTAACCTTTAGATGGTTCAGTAAGGGACAATGTTTTATTTTAAGTAATAAGTTTGTAAGTGTAGTATTAATTGTTGCAAACTGCAATGTTTTCTCCTAAAGAAATGAAAACATCAACATACATTAATCATCAATATTACAAAGTAATTATTAAATGACTGAACAACTATTTTTGACTGTGGAGTTATCAAGTTTAATAAATTATATATTTCTCTCGCGTCGATATGCAATATTCATTTATATTAAGATTAATCAAATTATATTATTGTTACTAAAATATTAAGAACATCTCATCATTGTAGTAACATGAATTCACTATATTGTGCACCCGAAAAGACACTTAGTACAAATCTGACACTTCTGAATATATTTACAAAAGTGAAGGGATATTCACTGACTAAATCATCATCTTTATCATCATCTTACGAAGACTGATGAAATTGGATAATGAGTTAGTTTACGATCAGGAAAGTAGAAGTTTTACGCTGTTGTACCTAATATTTGCTTTTTATTGATCTGGGCATGTACCCAGTTTAGGACGTATAAAGCTTCTGATATACTACCATATCTAAAGTGCTGGGTAGGTATAGCAACGGACTAAGTGTAAAAAAGCTGAGGAACCTTCTTATATAGGCACTTGTATTAAATCCAGAAAACAACTTATGTGTTTTAGGCTAAACTGGATATACGAGTATTCTATCCATAGGAAGAGACTCAAATGGGGGCAACGCACTTGTGACTCTTGAGTTGCAGATGTCCATGGGCGGAGATACTTACTTACCATCAGGTGACCCGTCTGGTCGTTTGAACGCTTATCCTTATAAAAATCTTGAGGATTTAAAATAAAATTTTGTCATTTCCAGTTCGAACAACTTAAAAAAAACGATTCCCTGGATTTCTTGTATACTATATAGAAATACCTTCGAGCCTATTGTGAGGAATCTACGGAATTTTTGATGTTTCGAATTATCATTAAGTCGGACTTTCTGTTATTCGATCTATTGAAACTCGGTATTTTGAGCATAGTAATTTTAAACGTTAGGAATATTGTTTTTTTTTAAATTATAAAGTAGGATAAATTATTAATCGGAGTTGCTATATTCGGAATTTTGAACCATTCGGAATTATGAAAATTGTTGTTTTGAATTTGTATTTGTGACTGACGGAATAAAGTTTTTGGAATAAAGATTTCTGGTTTGCCTAGTACAATACTATCACAAAATGTTTAATACATAATCTGTTGCCGATAATCAAGTTACAACGATATTGGCTCAACAGCCGATCAAAGGTAGGCTACGTATTCGTGACTCTTGAATTGCAAGTGTTCGTGGGTGGTGGTAGTTACTAACTGACAGGTGACCCGTCTGCTCGTTTGCTTTTCACCATTAAAAAATAAAAACATAATATTTACAACCTTTATTGATAAATGCAAATAATCATAAAACGTAAAACTGCAAAAACAAAACATTAATTAACAGTCCTCTGTACGCCTTCCCCTAATCTGTGACAAACTGCCTTTACCATTTCAGGAGTAGTCTCCTTAAGGTCGTAAGCCCATCCCATTCTGGCCCACAATCTGATGACAGCAGCCGAAATGTTAAAATAGTCACAGAACTCAGCTGCTTTGTAGTCGAACGGGAATGTGTGATGGTAGTTGTGCCAGCCTTCACCATTGGTAATGGCCGCTATTAACTTATTTTGTTTAGGTAGAATGTTCCTGGAAATAATTAAAAGATAACTTACTTGCTATCCATATGAAAACCTGCGAATAATATTTGACAAACAAAGAAATTGGGAAACTTGAAAAAATAATAACTGATATTCCTCGATGACTGAAATGTATTATAGTGAGTTGGCCGTTGACATACAAAACTAAAGTTATAACTGTTACAAAATTATAGTTTAATGGAAAAACGTAAACTTTCGATTAAGTAATTCAAGTATTATAAATAAATTTCCATTCGTATTCAAAATATTAGTGAGGATAAGTATAATATATTTTATATTATTTTTTACTTAACAATGACACTTCTCATTCAGAGGTGGTTTGGGTCGCAATTACAGAATTTCTAAATTTTATATACATGTAGGCATTTTTATATTAGAAATAATTTATGTTTTAAAATAATAAACTAATAAGATAAGAGTAGTGAAACGGAGCGTAAGATGATTAGAATGTAAGAGTGATATGGGAGTGAGAGAAAAAAGGAAGTAAGATGGGGAGTCTGAGCAAAACGATGTGGTGGTGTGCTCTAAAAATTAATTATTGTGATAACTGTAGAAGACGTTATAAAATAAAGCTGATATTTACAAGAAGTTGTTTGGCCTATTACCCAGCTCCTACAATTGGGAGCCCCCAATTGTAGGAGTCAATTTAAGAAGGTTACGAAGGCGCAGTGCGGCTACGAGCAAGGTGGCTTGGCTAGTTTGCATTGTCAAGAACGGACAAGACGCAATTAATTATCAATCTCATCCAACGAAGAAATACGCTAAAAGATGGCTGGCGACAAAGATGAGGCGGGAATAGCTACCGGCTTCGGTGCGACGAGCACGTTGGCGGGAACGTCCGCCATGGACGCGTACGGCGTATGCAAATTTAGCGGCGAAGACAAAACATATTCTTCGTCAAAGTGGGCAAATGATATCGAAGACAACGCTGAAATATTCGGATGGACCGCTCAACAAAAACTAATAATAGCGAGAAGATCGTTAGTGGGCACAGCAGAGTTGTGGTTGAGGTCTGAAAAGACATTCAGAACTTTCGAAGAGTTGAGAACGGCATTAACGAAAGAGTTTCCAGACGCACTCAATACCAAGGAGATGCATGAACTTATGGCGGGAAGAAGGAAGAAAAAGGATGAAACTGTGTATCAGTACATGTTGTTGATGCGGGAGTTAGGTAAAAGAGCTAAGTTTCCTGATTATGTTACCGTTCAATATATAGTGGATGGCATTCCTGATTACGAAAACAACAAGGCGATATTATACGGCATAACTTCGTTCAGTGTATTGAAGGAAAAACTTGCAGTGTACGAAATGATGAAGTCAAAAATGAAAAGGTGTAATGATATTAAACATGGCGGTACGAGCGGCGGCGGCAGCGGTGTTATACGCGGCAGAGCGAGTCAACAAAATTCATATAAGAAATCCAACGAGAAATCGTCGTCTGTGTTTAGTCGTGCATGTTATAAGTGTGGTGAAAAGGGCCATTTAGCAAATCAGTGTGAAAAGGGGGTAAAGTGTTTTCGTTGTAACAGTTTCGGTCATCTTAGTAAGGATTGTGGCGTCCATATTGGTACCAACATTACCAAATCAAAGAGTATCGGACATTCAATGTGTGTGTCGGCGGAAGAGGGCGTTCGTGTTGCATCAAATTCCTCGCAGACAGTTGGCAGCATTGATGACGAACATTTTTCGCGGCAAGAACGAATGAATGACGGACGGTTTACGCGTGACGTGGACAGATGTCGCAACTGTCAAAGTAACTTTGACGTTTTAAATGTAAACAAATTAAACTTTAGCAATAAAGCTGTGAAAGGATTGTCTCTGGTGTGTTGAAGCGACAGTAGTGAGTTTTTAGGTTATTTTCTGAATTTTGGCATATAATTTCATATTGTGCTTTCGTAATAGTGTTTGTGTGGTTCTGTGGCAGGAATAATCCTTAGCAAGGTTAGTGAATATTAACAACCGCGCTCATTTCTACGGAAATGAGCGCGGAAGACCCCCCTGATGGGGGCGGTGTGTTACCCCCCGATAAACCCAAAGCTATAAAGCGACAATCGGACTCAGTCTTTCCCGTTGACTTCGATGGAAAGAAAATACGTTCACCAGCTGAATCGATTCAGTCAATTTTCTCAAAACCTGGATTTGAGTCTGATTCCAGGCTCGAATACTCGGTATCAGACAAGGGTCCATATTCTGTGTATGTTCCTAGGCTTGAACCTGATCCATCATCCGGCCTGTCCCTTAAGGCACTCAAACTCGCCCAGTTCTTATACAAAAACAAAATACCTGATATTGTAGAGGGAACCATTAAAAATATGGGTCGTAACAAAGTCTGTGTGGAATTTGTGTCCGCTATCTCAGCGAATAATTTTGTTAACTCCCCAATTGTCAGACAATATAACTATGTGGCAAATATTCCTCGCTTCCAAGTATTTCGTATGGGTGTTGTTAGGGATATCCCTACTGAGTGGACTCTAGAGGAACTAGTATCTGGAATATCTGTCCCTAAGAATTGTGGCGAAGTTGTTCGAGCTAGACGTCTTAATGTTAAGAATAAAAAAGATGGAGTATCCGTTTGGGTCCCATCGAACTCTGTGGTCCTAACTTTTCTAGGACAGAGTCTGCCAGAAAAAATTTTTTGTTTTAATGCATCATTGCCAGTGTCGCTTTACCAGTTACCTACCATACAATGTAGGAATTGTTGTCGGTTCGGCCACATTGCCAAACAATGTAGGTCCCAGCCCCGCTGCTATAAATGTGCTCAGCCGCATTCTGGTGACTCCTGCCTGGTTCCTGACTCGGAGATATCTTGTTTTTTATGTCATGGTGGTAGCCATTGTGCTACTGATAACAGATGTCCCGAACATAATAGACAAAAATCCATCAAAAGTGTCATGTCTCAGGAAAACCTCAGCTATATGGAAGCATCAGCTAGATTTCCACAGTTTGCCAAGCGGCTATATTCTGAGGCTGCTGCCAGTCCCAAATCCCCTGCTAATTTCCCTCTAAACCCTCAAACTCATCCATCCATCGTACCTCTCCCATCTGCTTCTCCCTCTAAATCATACAAAAAAACAGTTAACCTTCCCCCTCGCCGTATATCTATGTCTGGGAAGACATATGATATTCATGCCCATAATGCAATTACTCAGTCCCCAACTTCTATCCACCCTAATGGTTGTTGTCTTATCCCCCCTACTGAAACAACTCCTCTTGCTACTCCTAATGACAATCTTGTACAGCTCCTTCTTTGCTCTTTAATTAATATGCTGTCTAAAATGTCAGATGCCTTACCGTACGACGTTGCAGTTCTTGTTGAACAACTACTTTCTGTTATCACAAAAAATAATGCTTCCAATGGCTCTCCAGGTCCTCCAATGGAACTGTAGGAGTATCCGACGTAACAAACAAGATATCTCTTACTTGATCAATCAACATAAACCTGTTGTTTTTGCAGTTTCCGAAACGTGGTTAAAGCCTGAATTCCATTTTAGAATTCCTGGTTTCTCTTGTCTTAGGGACGATAGAAGTGATGGTTATGCTGGTTGTGCCTTATTGGTCAATAGGAATATTACATTCTCTCTAATCTTATTACCAAACCACTCTCTTGGCTTAAATATAGTGGCCCTTAGAGCTTTTAATGTTTCCTTTGTCTCTGTCTATATTCCCCATCCCAACACAAGCATTCTTCTTGAATTAAAAACAATTCTTTCAACAATCCCCTCCCCTATGATTGTTTTAGGAGACTTTAACTGCCGTCACACTCTATGGGGATCTCACTGTATTGACTCATGCTCCTCTGTCTTACTTGACGTTATGGATGATTGCAACTTGTGCATCCTTAATGATGGATCCGCAACTCGTAGAGTTTCTCCATGCCAAAATATTAGTGTTCCAGATTTAACACTATCTTCTCCTTCCCTAGTCTCCCTCCTATCCTGGTCCCCCCTGCCAAACTCCCTTGGTAGTGATCACTTCCCTATTTTAATCTCATACTCTACTTCATATGTTCCCCAAACCCTACATCCCCTCCTCAAATACAGAGTTTCCCAAGCCAATTGGGAGCAATTTGCAACATCACTAGATCTAAATTTAACCACTCTCCCTCAAACAAATTCCTTTAATTTTCTTGTCCTCTATGACCAATTTATCTCTGCAATTAACTCAGCTGCTGATTGCTCTATTCCCCTCAAACTTACTTCCAATAAATTGACTGCTTCTCCCCCTTGGTGGGATTCTGAATGTACTGCCAGTGTTAAGAAGCGCAGGGAGGCTGAGAACAAGTTTGCTGCATCCCTTTCTATGTCGGATTTCCTCAATTTTAAAAAAATTGCTGCTAGCACAACCAGACTTCTTTCTGCTAAAAAATCTTTAGGATGGCGTTCATTTTGTGAGTCCTTATCTCCTCGCTCTAGTCTCTCACTTGTCTGGAAAAAATTCAAGTCATTCCGAAAAAGTCTTGACGTAACAAATATCTCTAGCAATGACCCTCATTCATTCCTACACGACTTCCTTAACCAACTGGCTCCTCCATATGCTCCAGGTTTCGATTGTTTCCCACCTTCCCATCCGTTTATTCCAGATTCCTCTCAAAATACCATGGATGATCCCTTCTCTTTCACAGAACTATCCTTTGCTCTAGATAATCTCCATGATTCCTCTCCCGGCATTGACGGTATCCCTTACTCTTTTATTCGTAAATCCTCCAATTCTTCCAAAATTTTCTTCCTCAGTATCCTCAATGCCATCTTTTATTATGGTCAAATACCTGAATCTTGGAAGACCCAAATTGTCATTCCTGTCCTGAAACCTGGTAGAGATCCCAGAAATTCGTCTTCCTATCGCCCTATTGCGCTCTCCTCAGTACTAGCTAAAATAATGGAAACCTTAATTAAATTCAGACTCGAATGGTTTCTAGAACACAACGAATTGTTAGCCAAAAACCAGTATGGTTTTAGAAAAGGTTTAGGCACTTTAGATAGCCTCAGCATC